ACGGTCCGTCGTCGTGTGTATTGAAACAAGATTGCAGACATGTCCAGTGACTCAATGAATTAGAAAACGGAAGAAGGAAGTGCGAAAAGTCCTTGAGGGCTTTTGCCCTTATCATTTTCTGTTCCAAACAATGAAGAAAATGCGGCAAGTCACATGACTAATTGCCTTAATTTTTATTGGGCAGTGAATACGTCTACCTGGACGAGACGGGGTCTGGGATGGCGGTAGGTCAGAGGAGTGGGCATGGTTGGGTGGGATTGTTGTGTTTGACAGTTGGATGGATGAATGAAATAGATAACTCCGGTGACGACTCTAGAGGATTTGGGTTGCACATCTGGCGACGGTATGCATTCAAAACGGGTTATCTTATTGTTGTATTTGCCATTCAAGACGATGTTGATTCTGCATGGACGGTACTCTCTGGTGTTAACTGAGACGGTGTCTATCCTGTCAGCAGTATGAACAACATAACACCCCTCTATCCTTTGGTGAACCTCCAATGGACTTTCGTGGAGGAAAAACAGACGTTTACACACTGCGCAATGTCGAAAGATAAAAATGAACGTATTTGTAGTGTCGCCAGACAAACACAGATTTGAATGCTAGAAAAGCAGGAGTTTGGGCAGTTGAGTCATATGTTCTTTCAGTTGTTGTAGTCAAATATTCTTTATGGTTTCGTCTATCTGGGAGAATCTTCAGATTGCCGGGACATTAGGATTGGTGCACCGCATCCTAGGCCACTTAAAATTGTTCTGAGTTGCAAAGAGCATGTTGATCTCATCCTCTCAAGACGTTTTAGGTTAAAATATTCCCACCAAGGAGTTCTTTTTCAGCCGGATTACACACCACTGGAGCGGATAAAACGCCGACAGTTAGTTTAGGAGTTAAGGATGCGATAAATGAATGGCAAACAAGGCCTGGTTATCTACAACGATTGCATAATCAAGCGACCGTCCCGCTTCATACGGACACGGCCCGTGCGTATGTCACCACAGCCGAGGCAATTGGCAAAGGCGGCGTCATAGCCAGCTTACCAAAGGCAAGATAGTTTATGATAGTGTCTCCGAACATGCTAGGTCAGGTGAGGATTTTTTTTCCGTGGACAATGACTGCCACCGCATTGGCGTGTCGCCATTGCTGGCGTGCAGTGTAGGAATGATAAGCTCCTTCCCCTTAGATCCTTTACATTTGGTTTACCTAGGTGTTATGAGAAGACTTTTCAACTTGTAGCTACGCAGCCCTAGGGACAGTGCATATAGGTTGTCCACATCGGCAGTGTCGACTATAAATAAT